CCAGCCCCATGAGTAGCTATTAGAATGCCTGCCTACACGTAAATCAGAGAAGTCTACAACAGTCACCGAACAAGTCAGAGTAGGTGATGGCCTTCTGTGTGGCTATCTAAGACTTATGCATTTGCCAATTATTTAGAAAGTAGAGAAAGCATCTAAGTTAAAGGAGGAACAAAACACTGTATGTAAATCTCAGTTTGCACAACACTAGGAGCACACAGCGGTCCCCCACTTATTGCAGAGCTTACATTCCAGACGCCCCCCCTCCAGAGAAGTGAAAATCAGCCAAGTAGCGACATATTTATTCTAGTATTTATATATAAGGCTTTATAAACCCTTCCCACACACTTACAAACCTTTCCCCCACTTTTAAAAGCACTTCTAATGTTAACCATTTTTTAAACTCGCAAACCTACATAATTTTAACATTTGTATATTGTGCAGTACTGCAAAATCCCAAGATATAGCAAAAAAAATCCACGATAAATTTTTTATATTTAGGACAGAGTCTACGGGGTCTATGCAGATCGGACTCGTAGTGATTCTCCTGTTTTTCAGCCTCCCAAGTGCTGGGATTACAGGTGTGCACCACCACACCCAGTCTCTCTCTCTGTGCACCCCGGGGCAGGGCTTGCCCAGGATCGAACTCCCCGTCCCTGTGTCACCTAAGTAGGTGCTTTAATCTGCTGAGCTATTTGGCCGGCCTTTAAGATCAATATTTTTGAAAACCCACCAAACAGTGAGTCTGTAAAAGTTGAGCTGTGCAATAGCGAGGAATGGCTGACTGTACATTCTTTCTAGACTATGAAAAAAAAATGTAAGAGGTTCTAAGGTCGGTCTGATGTTTTGCTGATAGTTTTTAATTTAGTTAATAAAATGTAGCTTTGCATAAAAATAACCCCACCAAGTCTTGCTTTGTGACTGAAAGTACACTAATTAGCTGCCAGACTATGTTGTCTAAAATGACTTCCTCCAGTCAAAAAATAAAGCTCCCCCCTCCTTCAGCTAGAGGTTCCCAGGACCGCATCCCAGGACAATGCAGGGCCTATTACATTCAAAGAAGTTGTCCCCAAAAAATTGTATAAAAAGATTTATTGAAATTTATCAATGACAAACAGACATAAAACTCAAAAGTTTGGCTTTTCTGAGGGGCAGGAGAAAAACCGGTGCAGATGGTCTTTTATACAGATGCGACACGGGTTGGGAAGTAACACATCACTTCTAAAGCGACCCGGAAGAGGAACACAAATGCAAACCTGTACATTCACTACGAATTTGCAGTCATTTCGGATCTCCACTAGGTAAGAAAATACAATTCTGCGTTAGTTTTTCCGTGCTCGGGTGTATGAAAAAAAAACCCAGCCGACATGCAGCGACATCTCTCCCGTGCTTAGGTCCGTAAAAATGTTCTAAGCCCGGGAGTACACATGGAAGAATTCTCCTGTCGTTTTTTTGTAAAACAAAGCATCTAATATTTTACAGAACAAGATAGGACAGTTTTTTTTTTTTTTTAAGAGGTTGAAATCTGAGGGTTTCTTTTAATTATCACTAGCAAACCCCTTTTACTTGTAACTCATAAGCCTGTTTTCAGCTTCCAGGA